CACACACACAGTGGATGAGATCACTAATGAAAGGTTATAAATGGAAAGAAATTTGAATAACATTGATGGCAAGTGTACAGGCTATGTATGTATGTATGTATGTATGTATGTAATCACACACACTATACGGTATTGTCTTTATGAGTGTAATTACAGAATACAGTTGTTTTTTTGTATTTTTGTTTTATATTATTAACATTACAGTATTTTTCGTATGTCCATCTTTCTACTCTTATTATCATCATCGTCATCATCGTCGTCATCATCATCATCATCATCATCATCATTAATTAATACTTCCTCGGAGGTGCCTAAGACTTATACAATTAACTAAATCCTTTTAGTAAATGAAATAAAACAGAAATATTGGACCAAAATTATATGGTATCCTTAGATATTTTATGGAGTTCTATTTTGATACATTGAAATAGAAACAGCATCGCCATTGAAACAAACGGGGAAAAAACGATGTAAAATGAATGAAACAAACAGATAAACGATGTAAAATGTATGAAACAAACCGATAAACGATGTAAAATGAATGAAGTGTTTTGGTGGAAAGGAAAATACATGTAGAGGTTAGGAGAGAAGAGTCTTAGTGGGTACAGAGGATGTGGGACGGTGGGACGGGGGGAAATTAAATTGAATCAGTTTCCGCTTAAAAAAGGAAAACGGTGTGTTATGTTTTACAGTGTATTGAAATAAATGGAACAAGGCTTTACACACACACACACACACACACACACACACACTTATTTACCTTTGACCAGAGAAAATTTACAAATTTAAGAAAATTAAAATATGTACAATAAAAAAAAATGATAAATATTAAAATAGAAAAATAGAATAAATTAAAAAAAATATATAATTATACTAAATAAAATGTAAGTAAGAGTTTATTTGAACGTTGAAGAGGATAATTTGAATACTTGAAGAGAATTGTACTGAGAAATATATAAATCTTGGGGAGGTGAGTTTTAGGTCGTATATATTGAAGGAAATTTCAAAGCATGTTGGAATTATGAGGTGAGGAGGAGGATGGGAAGGAGGAAGAGGGAAGGATGATGGGGAGGGAAGGATGATGAGGGAGGGAGGGAGGAGGGTGATGAAGGAAGATGATGGATGGGTAGGTAGGTAAGGAGGGGAGGGGGTAATGGTAGGTTAGGTATTCAGTGGTAGTTGTTAGCCAGTGCAGTTTGCGAGTTGTCCGGTCTTCCTGGGCTACTCCTTGTCACCAGGTCATACAGCTCGTTAAATTCGGTGTGTGATTGTTTGTGTTAGCGACAGAAAGTTCACGTCCAGGTGGCCTTAAAGCCTGAGAGAGAGAGAGAGACTCAATCACAAAATTAAAACCAGCTTTAATCCCAGTGCAACAATTGTCATATAAAAATGTTGTCGAATTTACTCTCGTGTCGCTAAGTCTTTGTGTGTGGTAGTTTGACCTCTTGTGACCCTTGCCCCATAGGTCATAGGACTTATCATGACCCTCTGACCTGTGTCTTTAACCTCATTTGTTCCACTTTGATCTAATGTGACCTGAGCTGTGTTGAACTCAAAGGCCTTTAGCTAATGTGACCTTATTTGACCTATTCCGTTTTGAACTCTTAGGACTCAACATGAACTCATCTGATGTTGGTTGTCAGGGAAAAACTGTGCAGGTAATTTCCCCCAGACTCCTGATACGACATAAGTTTCCCCCGCCTCCAGCACCACTGTCTCTCCCCTTCCCCTGCACCACAATCTCACCTCTCTCTCCTCAACACACACCTCTACACCTCACCTCTCTCTCCTCCAACACACACCTCTACACCTCACCTACCTCACCAACACACCTCTACACCTCCCCTCTCTCTCCTCCCACACACCTCTACACCTCACCTCTCTCTCCACAACACACCTCTCACCTCACCTCCCTCTCCCTCCCACCAACACACACCTCCTACACCTCACCTCTCCCTCCACCACACACCTCTACACCTCACCTCACCTCTCCTTCACCACACACCTCTACACCTCCTCTCTCTCCCTCCAGCTACACACCTCTACACCTCACCTCTCCCTCCACCACACACACCTCTACACCTCACCTCCCCTCTCCTCCACCACACACCTCTACACCTCACCTCTCCCTCCACCCACACACCTCTACACCTCCCCTCCCTCCACCAACACACACCTCTACCCCCTCACCTCTCCCTCCACCCACACACCTCTACACCTCCCCCCCCACCTCTCCCTCCACCCACACACACCCCTCTACACCTCACCTCTCCCTCCCACCACACACCTCCACACCTCCACCTCTCCCTCCCTCCCCCACACCTCTCACCTCACCTCCCTCCACCCCCACCTCTACACCTCCCACCTCACCTCTCCCCTCCCACACACCTCCCCACCTCCACCTCCCTCCCCTGCCCACACACCTCTACACCTCCCCCTCTCTCTCCCTCTGCTTACCTCCCCTCCCCTCTCCCTCCCTCCACCCCCACACCTCCCCACCTCCCCACCTCTCTCTCCCTCTTACCTCTACACCTCACCTCTCCCTCCTCCACCAACACACCCCACCTCCTCTCTCTCCACCAACACACCTCTACACCTCACCTCTCCCTCCTCCCCACACACACCTCTGCCCTCACCTCTCCCTCCTCCACCACACCTCTACACCTCCACCTCTCTCTCCTGCCCACACACCTCTACACCTCACCTCTCCCTCCCCAACACACACCTACACCTCACCTCTCTCCTCCCACACACCTCTACCTCATCTCTCCCTCACCACACACCTCTACACCTCCCACCTCTCTCTCCTCTCCCCACCTCTACACCTCACCTCTCCCTCCCTCCCACCACACACCCTCTACACCTCACCTCCCCTCTCTCCCTCCCACCAACACACACACCTCTACACCTCACCTCACCTCTCCCTCCCACCACACACCTCCTACACCTCCCACCTCCCCACCTCTCCCTCCCCACCAACACACCTCTACACCTCACCTCTCTCTCCCTCCCACCCACACCTCTACACCTCCCCACCTCTCTCTCCCCCAACACACCTCTACACCTCCTCTCCTCCTCCACCAACACACACCTCTACACCTCTCTCTCCCTCCTCCTGCTCCACCTCTCTACACCTCACCTCTCTCTCCTCCACCACACACACCTCTCCCCTCACCTCTCCCTCCCTCCCACACCTCCCCTCCACCTCTCCCTCCCCCCACACACACCTCTACACCTCCCACCTCTCTCCACCACCTGCACCTCTACACCTCACCTCCCCCTCTCCCTCCCACCACACCTCTACACCTCACCTCTCTCCTCCCCTGCCCCACACCTCTACACCTCACCTCACCTCTCCCTCCCTCCACCACACACCCCACACACCTCTCCCTCCCCAACACACACCCCTACACCTCACCTCCCCAACACACACCCCACACCCCTCCCTCACCTCCCACCACACACCCCACACCTCACCTCCCTCTCCTCCACCAACACACACCCCCACACCTCACCTCTCCTCCACCACACACCTCCACACCTCACCTCCACCACACACACCTCCACACCTCACCTCCACCAACACACACCCCCACCTCTCCTCCACACACACCCTACACCCTCACCTCTCCCTCCACCACACACACACCTCACCTCACCTCCCTCCACCACACACCCTACACTCCCTCCACCAACACACACCTCACACCTCACCTCTCCACCACACCCCACACACCTCCCACCCCACCACACACCCACACACCCTCACCCTCCACCACACACCCACACACCCTCACCCCACCACCTCCACACCTCACCTCACCCTCTCCCTCCACCACACACCCCTACACCACCTCTCCCCACCACACACCTCTACACCTCACCTCCCTCCACCACACACCTTTACACCTCACCCTCCACCAACACACACCTCTACACCTCACCTCTCCCCCAACACACACCTCACCCCTTGGCATGACACCCTCTTACCTCCCACCAAAGTCACTCATAATTGTGTTGTCAGAGAGAGACATTTTACTCTTTCTCCTGTTGTTTAGTTTGGTCTCTCTTGTTCTGTTACTGTCTCTCTTGTTCTGTTACTGTCTCTCTTGTGCTGTTATTGTTTCTCTTGTGCTGTTACTGTTTCTCTTGTGCTATTACTGTCTCTCTGTTGTGCTTAACGAGGGATATTCTACACGCGAACTATTGTTATTGTGTCTTTTGCGCCAGGGAAGGAGAAGGTCATGCGTGTCGTCATAGCGGGTCACTCGTCTTACCTGAACCCTTTCCACTAATTGACTGAGTGATTGATTGGCTTGTGTTACCTGTGTGTGTGTGTGTGTGTGTGTGTGTGTGTGTGTCAGAAAGAAAGAGAAAGACATATGTTTGGGTATGTGTGTGTTTCGGTGTTTTGATTGTGTGTTTGTATGAGTGTTTGTGTGACGTAACTCGCTACAGTTGGTGGATATGGCCGTCACTTTGTCATACTTGAGCTGTGTTGAGGTGGTGGGGATGGCAGCTCATTGTTCGTCTTTGCTTTCATTCCCTTGTGGTCTGTAAACAATTTGCCGGGACTCTTGTTTTGAACGATGTTAAAATGTTAAACTTAATAGGGATTTTGTTGTTAAATAAGGATTAAAAGAAAATTAATATGTAACTCTGACGCTTTAATTGGTACGTAAATGAACTTTTTTTTGAGGTGTTTTTAATAAATGAAAACTTGTGAAAAATCGATTCTTAAATTAGAACTTTGTGATTTTTTAGCTGATTTTTAAATACCTTTTATGTAACTTGGTTTTTTCTTAAGTGGTTTTATTATTGAGGTCTTAAACAGACTTTATGTTTGAAGATGAAAGGCTGTGTGTAAAATTGATGAGTCATTTATTGGAAGTGTTAGGTATATTTATTTGTTAATTAGTTGATATATGTTTACTTATTATATTACTTCATGAGACTGTTTTGAGAGATAATAATAATAATAATGATGTGTTGTGTTGCAGGTGCAGGTAGTATGAGCGTGGGAGGATACGATGGCAAGATTGCGGGGCTGTACGACTTGGAGGAGACGCTGGGACGCGGCCACTATGCTGTCGTCAAGTTGGCCAGACACGTCTTTACCGGGGAGAAGGTCGCCGTCAAGGTGGGTAGCTGTGATACACACCTCTCTCAGTGCTCTCTATCTATGGCTTTACACTGATGTATTAATGTATTATCTATAAGTAGTGGTGGTAGTGGGGATCGACATTGCCAAGGTGAACACACACACACAGTCAAACATGATGACCTCTCACCGTAGACTTATTGATGCGTACAATATATACTGACATGGCTGCTCACGAGTAATGATTCATTATGTAAAGAAGGACAGCGGTAAACCAGACAGATATTTGGTGTCTGGACAGTGGGATACCGTCAATAGAGCACATGAGTTATAGCAGCAGGAGTGAATGAGTAACAGGGAGGGAAGTGAGGGACGGGGTGTGTAATGTGTTTGGTGTCGGTGTGTGCTAGCGAGGGGGAGGGACGGTAGAGCGTTTATTATTATTATTATTATTATTATTTCATTGTATTGTGTCTGTAACGTAAAATTATATGATAATTGGGAGGATTATTAGGTTAAATGTAGTTTTGTTTTATCATTATCTACATCGGTTCTGTTTATGCTTGTTCGCACGTTATGTTACCAAGTTCACACTTCAAACCTGGTCAAAAGTGGACGCGGTTCAAGGTCAGCTAGATGTCATGTTTGTTTTGGTCGAGAGTCCAGTAATTATAGTCCTTGTCGCGAGAAATTTTTCCACACCTCGGCCTAAGTAAAATCTTAACACCTTTTTAAATCTGTTGACCACAAATTTTATCCCATCTCTGCGAAAGACAACGAAAGTTGGTTAAACGCGAAGCTCAAAGGTCACTCAAGAACATTGACTGAAATAATCACTACTAAATATTGACAGATGGGAGACGTGACCTTTCTTCCCCGACCACCAGACTTATCAACACAGACCATCATGATAAATACTGTACTTACTGTTCTCATAGTCGTCTTCCCGGAACACAATTAATTATATTAAAGATGCTAACTAGGAGAACATTTAAGTCCACTGAAATAATGAGATAATTGGCCTCGCTAAGTAGTGTGTTAAACGACATTGACCTTGTCTCACAGGAACCAACTCTACAGGGAAGGTCATTAGAAGGTGAACTGGAATCTATTTTAACCCCTTATGTACGGGGGTCTGTGCTGAATGAAATCGTCTGGCGTTGGTTAAATAAAATACTAAAAGTGACGTACCTGTAGTGAAGGAGTTGATATGTTTTTGTAGTTTTATATGACGTCTTCGTTCCCATATAAACAGGTGTCTACAGTCATTTAGATAACATAACCTGAGGCAGCACTATGGCGGTGTTTTAAGTAGTTGTTGGTAATTTCTACATACCTATAGATACTTCATGTGAAATCAACACTGATGCTTTGAAAAACAATGAAGACTTTGACTAGGTAGCCAACACCTGTTATAATGAGCTGTGTTGATGACTTGTTGTTCAGTCGTGCAGCAGCTGTTTAACACCTGTCAGGCATTTGTAGGTGAACGTGATATAGTGTATAACAGAGATGAAGCATATGTGGCTGAATAAATTATGTATAATTTCAAAACTATTCCACAGTGAGTATAATAATTTAAGGTTGTAAGTCGGTCTATGAATGAATACCTGTAGGGTGTGTGAGAGATGGTGGAGACAACATGGTGGCCACGGGTTAGACTGGGGCCTCCCCATCGAGTTGAGTATTTCGGGGATGTGATTCAGCCCAACAATAATGTGTTTTTAGAGAAGGAGTTACAGTATATCTCAAGTGGCGTAAACAGTTATATAAACATGGGGTTCAACCTGCCTGGGGGGAGAGTTACGTAGTTTAAAAGATAGTGTACCTGTGCTGCCTAAGTTGATGCAGTGGTGATAGTGATGATGATGGTGATAATAATGATAATAATAACTTAATACTATTAATAATAAAAATAATAGACAAGTACACAAAGTAACCATAGAGATTAAATAGACTGTTCTTATAATAGCAAAGGTTATGTAATCATAGGTATACCTGATGTGAGGTGTGTACAGCAGAGTAATTAAGAGGTCACCTGCTATGCCCACTCATGTAAAAGAAACATTTAAACAGTACAAGTGGAGGAGAAACAGGTGCTGTGGAGGAGTGGTTAGGTTAGTGTTAGGTTTGGTGAATCTTGAGATGGAACAAGTTGAGGGGAGGTAATTTTCAGATGATCCCAATTTGTTCTGTTATTTTGGCTCTTATTATTTGACTGCATGTAATAATGACGTAATTCAGGAAAAAAATAGTACCTGGTAATTGTTTTATTTCTATTTAGGATTTTTTTTTGTTAGGTTAGGTTATATAGGATTGGGTTAGGTTAGGTTGATGTAGTGTCGTCCTCTGGGGTGAGTGTAGGGAACAAACACAGTGTAGGCGGACAGGTGTGGTAATTTAGTTGGGAGATGCACCTGTAGTGGACCACGCGCTGATTATGGGGTGTGTCAAGGGGTGAACTATAGATGGATGTGCTGGAGCCTCGTCACTGAAGGGAACGCCACAGCAGAACAAGTTGTGTCTCTGAGGGAGAGGGAGAGTGTTGCCAACCTGCGGTATAACGGGAAAGGATTTGTAAGAGAAAAGGGGGATTATGTTGTATGTTTTTTACTGTTGAGGGTTGATGTTGTAGGTTAAGTTATTACCTTTACCTTCAACCTTGACACCTGCCCTTAATTGTGTTGTTTAGGTGAGAGACAAAATGATTGTGGACCTGGTAATTGATTTTGTGAATATCTTGATATATCTTGTTGCCGTTGTTGGTTAAGCATTGTACTTTAAGCTGCTTACCTTCACCCTTATGTCTGACATCCTTCCATGTTTGTGTTGCACAGGTGATAGACAAGATGAAGCTGGACGAGGTGTCGCGGGCACACTTGTTCCAGGAGGTGCGGTGCATGAAGCTGGTGCAGCACCCTAACGTGGTGAGACTATACGAGGTGATAGACACGCAGACCAAACTCTACCTCATTCTGGAGTGGGCGGACGGCGGCGACATGTACGACTACATCATGAAGTAAGTCACTGCTTTATACTACCTCCCGTGTGTGTGTAAGTCAGTCAACATTGAACCCCTGACATGACTCCTTAAATAACCTTAAATAAACATATTGAGATGCAATAATTATGCTTAATGCTGAGTATCTGACTTAAGAAATGAAATACTTCGGTAGGGGGAAGTAACACATTACGAGAGACACACGGTCTTAGTTGTTGTCCATAGTATGTGTTGAGGATGGTACACACTAGTTACATGTGTTATAAGTATGAGGCCATGTAGTGAAGTTGTTACATATTAGGTGTTATTAATAAGTGGGTTGAGGTTGTTACACATTAGATGTAGATGTGAGGCCATGTGTTGAAGCACCATAGGCTAATAGCAACAAAATATGTGTTCAAGATGGTATACAATAAATATAATGATATTTTAAATTGACTGTTGAAATATTTATTTGTTCGTGGCAGACATGAGAAGGGCCTGGACGAGGGTGCGGCGTGCAAGTACTTCCGGCAGATCGTTCACGCCATCAGCTTCTGCCACAAGCTCCACGTAGTGCACCGCGACCTCAAGCCCGAGAATGTGGTGTTCTTCGAGAAGCTGGGAATGGTGAAGCTCACAGACTTCGGCTTCAGCAACAAATTTTGTCCCGGGCAGAAGCTGGAGACGTCGTGTGGCTCTCTGGCGTACTCAGCTCCTGAGATTCTGTTGGGTGACTCCTACGACGCTCCTGCTGTTGGTCAGTTCTGCACAGTTTGTTGTATTTTGGTCTTTGTAACACTTTGATGAGGAGGGATGGATTTTTTACCCATTTAACGAAGACAAGTTAATCTTCATCTTATTGTCTGGTACTTTTGATCTACTATACTGTGCCAAACTTTGAACTTATTTACTTTAAATTTTTCTTTATTTTGATTGAAACTGAAACTTTTTCGGACGTTCCCGCTTTTATATTGTGATTCATAATGTTTGTTGAACTTTAATGTCTGCAAACTAAATCTAATATTATTCTTTTCTCTTTTATATATATTGTTCATACGTTCTTGTGTTAGTGTTTTAAACATAATTAAACTTTTCTCACTTAACCATAGCTTATTAAAAAGTATACCTTGGGAGTGAAAAATATATGTTAACTAACGACTTCATTGACTCCTCCTTCAGACATCTGGTCGCTGGGGGTGATCCTGTACATGCTGGTGTGTGGCCACGCGCCCTTCCAAGAGGCCAATGACAGCGAGACGCTCACTATGATCATGGACTGCAAGTACACCATACCGGAGTATGTCTCAGAGCCCTGCAGGAAGTGAGTACTGTTCCTCTCTTATATCTTGCTGTTGGGAAGAGGAGGAGGAGAAGAAAAAGAGGGATGGTGGAGGAAGGGAAGAAAAGGAGGGACAGGTTGGAAGGAAAAGAGAAAGGAGGAGGAAGGGAAGATAAAGAGGAACAGGGTGGAACGGGAGGAAAGGAAGAAAAAGTGACTAAATGGAGGAAGAAGAAGGGAAGAAAAAGAGGGGCTGGGTGGAGGAGGACAAGGAGGAGGAAGATCTGTTGTTGTGTGCACCGTGGTAGAGTGGAGTGGACCAGTATGAAGGAGGCTGCTGCAGTGTGAGGTGTGGCGTGTCACTGTATTGTTGACGTCCCTCACACTAGTACCTGGTGGGTGAGTGTGAGTGTGACAGGAGGGGAAGGGAGCCAAGAGAGACACACAGGTCGTTTACACTGTCTATCAGTAGATGCTTCTTTCTGGCCTTGTGTTAAATAAAAAGCTATATAAAGACGCCCACGAGAGAGAGAGAGAGAGAGTAATTATCATTCAGCATTCGTAAAATTAATAAGTTTTCGTCTGCTACTCAATATTTCACTAGACTGGCAACTGGTGGCTAGTCAACACATAATGGACTCAATAATTCATCCACACCCAGATGAATGTAGCCTCATTACACCAGCGTTGATTGGTAGGTATTCAGTATGTGCCTTGTTATTAGTGTGAGTGCTTTGTGTGAATATTTAACCTTGATACTTTCTATTGAATGTTTGGGTTTGTAGAGCTTGTTTTTTTTTTGGGGGGGGGGGTGCCTTATAAATATGTTAAAACGTGAATTGTAGTCCGATTTGAACATAACTTATTAACAAGATTATGTGTAGTTTTAATCACCCATGACTTGCAGGTGTCTCATTTTTATAGGTAGTTTTCCTAATCTCCAATTAGGTTGAATCCATTTTTATTTATTTTTATTTGCCGACACTATCTATCTATATACATCCAGTATCAATGGAAACTTGTGTCATGATTTTACCGGATAAATATTTTTTATTAATCTATCTATCTATACATTTATCGATTTATTTGTATATCTATTTATCTCTATCTCTGTTAAAGGTAATAATATACAGTACCTTCTAAACACTGTTACCACATTTAGGATAATTTTATGCTTTTAACATTATTTCGTGAATAATTTTTCCAGTTGGCATAATTTTATCGTTACTAGTAATACTGTACACTATAGCGTAATTCTTGCATACCTCGGGTTTCTTCTAATTTGGTTAAATATTTAAAAGGTCACATAAATTTCTTAAAATACTTAACTACATAACCCACATGGTTTAACGTCTTTTAAAATAACTAAAACAAGTGTAATTTGGGGAAAAAATCATCAAGCACCTGGCACATCTACAGTACTGTACTGTGAACCTATGGGATCACACTTTATGCATCCCAGGGATCAAGTGAACTTTGGGCACCCCTGGGTCATCATCTGAACTCTAGGCACCCCAGGGATCAAATTAATGTGGGAGGTTGGGTTATGTTAAATTAGGTTATTAACACAACTCAATCTGATCCCTTACCAAGGGGATACAGATTTACTCTGCTGTACTTACATCTAATTTTCAATGTTAAAAAGGAAATTAGGAAGTAATAATAATAATAATGAGTGATGTATTAGAAAGTAATACATTAAGCAATTAATCATATACCATATTAGCACATTTATAGTAAACTTTCTGTAGGTGAGTGACATTGACATAAACGAAGGAATATTTTGGCTTTTTGGCATTGTGGAGTGTGTGAACAGCCTAGACCAGATTAACCCTTCTTTGTACCCGGAATAAAGTGGTTTAAGCCAGGGGGGGGTTATAATTTGGCCTGTTCAGGGCATTGATGACAGAGAAACAATGTCAACAAACATAGCTTCATGGCCGAACACATGAAGACTTAACCTTGTTTTTGGTTGTCACAGGCGTATTCATTATCCAGGTAAACACAATTTTAACTTAATTTAAGTGTCATAAGAGTGTACGCGTCTCTTTCACGGGAAAAAACTTAGGAGTGAGTTTGATCAATTTTTCCACTTTAGTCCTAACGAACACTCGAGACTGTCAAAGGAGTCAAGTGATTCAGTTATTACTTTGGTTGTGGAAACAAGTTCAAGTCAGGCTACTAAAACAGGTTCTGGTTACAGACTACACCAGTGTCACCAGGTCTGAGTTTTATTCTTTAATATTACTTGATATTAATTATAAGGGGCATGCAAAGTAGCTACCAAACAGGGAGGTACTACCGCCTGGGAAGATATTTGAAGCATAATGTGTTGTCTAATGGTAGACCCTGTTGCCGTATGGTTTCTCAAAAAATTGTGACCAAGCCTCGGGTTGCTGATCTGACTTTCTGCCTCATTTACACACAGTTGCAGGGTCTCAATTGTTTCTCTTACTATTGACAACACAACATACAAGTACATACTGTATATTGTTTCTCAATCTTGATTTATTTTTCATTTTTATATTTATTTCCGGTTATTATTATTATTTTTATTTTATTTTATAATTTTATATAATTTTATTTATTATTATTATTATTATTATTATTATTATTATTATTATTATTATTATTATTATTATTATTATTATTATTATTATTATTATTATTATTATTATTATTATTATTATTATTATTAGTATTATAATTATTATATTTTTGCCTCCCCAGGCCCTGTATTGGGTCATTGACCTGTGCTCTGGTGGGCTAATCCCTATAAAAAAACTATAAGTTGTTAAGTAGTGATAGAATGAGGACTTAAAAGTCTTTTTACCACCACTTAACAACTTAGCCCCTCGATCAAATTCACAGTGGAATTAGAAAGTGACTGCAAATTACCTTTCCTAGACTGTCTGAGCCACATAGTAGGTAACACCTTTAAGTTCAGTATTTATAGGAAACCTACTAATGTGTGTTCATATATTCATTATTATTCTGCCCACCATAATAGAGTCAAACAGTCAGTATTCTCATCAATGTTTTTACGTGCTCTACGAATATGCAGTCTGGAATTCATTGATGAGGAATATAAATATATCTATAATATTGTTTTGAACCTTAAGTACCCTAGATCTTTTATAGACAAATGCCTTAACATTGCTAAGAATTTTTTTTATATAACTGATCCTAAACCTCCCCATCACAATAAAAATCTCTTAGTATTACCTTTTAATAAAAAAAAATATAAAATTCCTCTACAACTGAAAACCTGGAAAGTAAATGTAACATTTAGTAACTAATGCACTGTAAAACAAATGCTAATTAAGAAATCCCCCAACAATGCAGGTGTCTGCATTTACAAGGTTCCTTGCATGGAATGTAATATGTTCTACTTAGTCAGATGGGAAAAGAGCTTATAACTACTGTAGACTTAAACAACATAAATATAGTGTTAGGACAGGCCAGGAATCCCCTGCTCTGTTCATTCTTATGAGAGATAATAAGCTTTGCATTGACTGTGATAATGCCTCCTTAATATTACCTTGTACTGTAATTCAATTGTCAGTAGGAACATTGTGTAATCTAGTCTCATTAAACATACCGAATCTGTCAACATGAATTTGAGCAATGGCATTTAAAAATTGGACAATTGTGTGATTAAGAAGATTTGTAACCAGGTGAGAAGGTTGGGTCACCCTACCTTATGACCTGATTATGGTGGACACCTGCTGTCTCTTGGGATTTGATCTCCTTTACTGTATACATTAGCTTTGTCAACAATTACACCTTAATCTGTACCCACCTCTAAGGAAGTGAATTACACGAAAGTGCTTAATAATGGCATGGACACCTGCTGTCCCTAAGGAGGCGCTCCGAATCAGAAGGGGGTGAAGCGACAAATTCAAAAAGCTGAGAAAAACGCATTTAAAGTTTTTCAAAGTTCAAACAACCATAACTTTTTATATTTTAAGCTAGAGGGTTAATTTTTTTTTCGTGCAGCCCAATCCCTCTCCTAGCAAACTGTGAAAACTGGAAGTTAGTACTGTGAATAGTTCTTATTTTATCACGAGTTGAATGAGAATAACTACCCGTGATGTACAGTTGTTTGAACTTCAAACAAAAAATATTGCGTTTTTCTGGAAAATTTTCTTATTATTGTGGGCTGATACTGTAAAACAAGTTAATGATCACCAAAAACAGCACTCGTCTTACACCACACCCCCCCATAACCCCCCCTCAATAAAAAAGAAATTCAGTAGTACCCCGCTTAACGCGGTCAATTGAACCCACAGGGTACCGCGTTAAGTGAAAACCGCGTTAAGTGAACAACAGAACATATGGGATTAATTCCAATAGAGACTGGCCCGACCCCCAAACTCCACTTTTTGACGACACACAACTATGTTGTAGTAAAAATTTTATCTTAACTTTATGATGGTATGCACACACAATTAATAATTAAGAGAAATATCAATAATATTAGGTTTTTTAACACTTGCATTAGTAGAAAAGATGGCTGGGCACACAGGGGATGGGGGGTTGGTTCCGAGGCAGAGGGCAGATTATTGGCCCTCACCTGTATCACTTGTATCAATTGTATCACTATCCACCACAGAGGCTTGCAGGGCCTCTTTGTCAAACCCTCAAAGTCCATATAAGTCCATATCCTCACTATAATTATCACTATCACTGACTTGGGCCGGCTGTGGTGGGTGGCGGGTGAAGAACTCGGTAATGTTTTGATGACTGGGCGACCTTGTGCGCATCGTGCCCGCGCCGCTTCCCGCGTATATGATGAAAAATTCCGCGTTAAGTGAAAGTTCAGCTCTGGCGAGGCACCGCGTATATGATAAAACGCGTTAAGTGAAACCGCGTTAGGCGGGGTAATACTGTAATAATAAAAAACTCATTTGCCTATCAGTATTTATCTTTCCGTCCCTATTATTAGCCAAAGATTTATAATATTGTTAAATAATATTGTTAAGTGTGTAATAATAAGGAAACAACACTTCACTCATCCCCCCACCATTAACCCCCCCCCCAACGTAATTAACATACGAATACAAAGGCGGAGAAAGTTGAAAGTTTGCATAATCTTTGGTAAAAACAGTATTATGACAATAGTATTACCATCTTACTTTGTTTAGTTCCTTCATTTTATTATCCCTGAAGATCGTAGCAACTTGAAGTTACGTAAATCCTGATGAGTACGTATTACTTTAATGGCCTCGTCATAATCAGTCACGTACTGATCAAAGTCTTTCTCTTCCCTCTCTAAAAATCACCACACAGATTCTTCATCAACTAAATCATTGATTATTGATGCCGACAACAGTTCAGTTTCATTATAAGACTGAGTTATGGGCTCACTTTCACTAGCAGTCGTTGGGTCAGGCTCACTTTCATCACTCTCAAGGTCAATACCTCAATGCTCAAAGGTCACAGAAGTAGAACTACCACCCATTCTGAAACAGGTCGAGTGACATTACTTGGAAAGCCTCGAATAACATTGACCCCATGGCTCATGATCCATTTTGGGGGACTGTACATGTATAATTAATAGTTACTCAAATAAAAATCATAAAACAATGAAACTTACCATAAACTTGAGTTACACCATCAAAGTTCATGGGTCGGCGAGAATAAACAACGAATCACTCCAATCCCCTGTGGGAGTCTCATGGGTGGACACATGGCTTATGAAAGTTACTCCACCACCACCACATTCCTCATCCTTGTTCCTCAAAAGTCCCCTAAGATTCACTATTCACATTTATATCATTGTTACTATGCATGGGAGGAACATCCTTGTTTCCAGAATTAGATACAGTACACAGTAATGGGGTAAATTTTTACCAGTGTGGGGTGCTGCATATGAGCGGATGCGGTGCATATTTTACACGGGCACTGTCCATCCATTACTAATGTGTGAGAGGCCTACACTACCTCAATTTAGTTGCCAAAAGCATCCACAAAGATGCTCAGCAAATACAAGGCATGGGGAATTTAAATTGGGCCTGCAAGAAATATATCACCAGGGGTTAAGGGTTATTTGTATGTTGTCAGTTTGAATGTAGTACAATATTTGTTTACCGATTGGACATAGCTCATTGACATCAGAGTGGGAGGAGCTAAATTTAGGTGACAAAGTCATCTGGTGTCTTATGCATAAGTGTCTCAGTCAGATATGCCACCTCAAGATGTACAATAAGACCGAGAATATTGTTGAAATGCATTATATAAAGTATGTGAAACATGACAGTTTATTAGTGCATTTATATGTGGTTGTAGAGAGTGAGTGTACCGGGTATGTAGGTATATTATTAGTTAATGTTAGTATGTTTAGGTGTGAATAAAGGTACATATGAATATTTATATAAAAATACTGAACAGTACAGTGTACTTTAATTATAATTCATTTATTATTTTTAGTTTTATTTTTAACAATCAGTTTTTTTATTTCTGTGATAATATAAATTCCTTTCAAATGTTCATAGTACAGTACTAGGGTATTGACTTTTCTCTGACAAATATATAAGACTTCATATTTATTGCTGTCCCATTTTCTTCTTCAGGTTGATAGCTCAAATGTTAATCAGGGACCCTGGAAAACGCTCCACCTTAGAGGACATTGCAAGTGACCCCTGGCTGCAGGAGGGATGGACAGTGGACCCAGCAGAGGTTCTCCCCCTGGTGTCCCGGCAACACCTCACAGAAGAGGACCATGCTCATATCATACACAAGATGGTGTCCGGCAATATAGCATCAATGGAAGAGATTCTCGAGTATGATCTTGTATCTTTTTGCCTTTTCTTTTTTTTTTTTTTTACTTGCTCTTCAATAATTTTTTTTACCACATTGATGTAGACAGGAAAGCCATATGCATTTTTAATTCCTCCATTGTTCCTGGTAAGTTTGTCCTTCATTGTCCAGTGTCAGTACAGGAGGAAACCAGAGTACCCAGAGAAAACCTGCCTTCTAGCACCCAACTTGGGGATTAAACCCGGGGACACAGTGGTGGGAGACAAGCATGTTACCGGTGTACAGTACCACCAACGCCCCAAAATCAGCTGCATACTGATTAATAAAATGAAAATGTTATTGGTTTGAAGTTATTGTATTTGTTGAATAAGTTACTTCAAATTGAAAAAAAAAAAAAACTTATATTTAAAGGATAATTATTTTTAGAATAAAGCATGCTGTAAGTATTAACCGCTGGATATTTTATAGAATAATAAATACTTTTCAGTGGACTAGACAGGAATGAGTACAACCACATAACTGCAACATATTTTCTGCTGGCGGAACGCAAACTTCGTGCTCACCGGCTCCAACAAGCTGACTTGGCCAAGAATTCTGTCACTAGCCCAGTGATGTCTGTCAGGTAAGCACTGTTTTTTCCAAACCTTAATGAAATGTGTCTTACATGAGGTGTACCGGTGTTAGTTAAAAGTTAGAAACAAGAGCTAACACTGTTTTGTTTGTAGAGTTTTACCTTGAGTTTATTTGACAGGACTTTAGTACCCGTACAGTGATATCTCCATTAGCCGGAACAATTGGTTTAGAGCACTTCTGGAAATAAAAGATTTCCGGGTAACGAGACGACTCTCAAAACCGGAAAAAAATCCCATATCCCTGGAATTTCCAGTTTTTTCTGGTTAACAGAAAAATTATCTCGGAAGTTCCAGAAATTGCGCATTACATTATCTGTCAAAGCCGGAAAAAATCCCTCATCCCCGGAATTTTCCAGAGTTTTTCGGGTAACGGAAAAATGTTCTTGGAAGTTCCAGAAATTGCCCGTTACATCATCTCTCGAACCTGGAAAAAATATCCCCCATCCCCGGAATTTTCCAGCTACCGGAAAAATTTTCTCAGAATTTCCCGAAAATGCGCCTGATTTCCATCTCTCAAACTCAGAAAAAACTCCCCCATCCCTAGAATTTTCCGGAATTTTCCATGTACAGTAAACCCTCGATAACTCGGCACACATGGGGCTCTGGCCTTGCTGAGTTATCCCAAATTCCGATTTATCGAGGCATTTCCCCCATCTTACAAAAATACAATAAAATATTATTGACCCATATATGTGTACATGTAATTACTAAATGTTAAAAGGTAACTTACGAGCACTGCAGGCGAAGAAAGAAGCATCATAGTAGGTGACAGAGGCATGGTAGGTAATGCAGGTAGCCAGATATGCCGAGATTTTCCCAGATAATTTTATATATCTTGGCATTTCCCGAGTTATACTATCATACATTCCGAGACCATATCCACGCCGAATTATATGAAAGTCCGAGTTATCAAATGCCGAGATATCGGGGGTTTACTGTATCGGGAAAATTTTCTCAGAATTTTACGGAAAAGTGACCCTCGGAAAATCGTTCCAAAAGCCGTAATTTTCCAGAAAATTCTGGCCTTGGGAACATTTTTTCGAGAAAATTTCCATTCCAGGTTTGAAGAATTCCAGCTCATGGAGATATTACTGTATATGACTGTACTTCATTACACATGTGTGTAAATTCACAAAACATTTGGACAAAGCCTTGTAAGGAGAGTACATATAGAAGCAGGTAATAAAACAGTGCAAATTAGGTAACTACAGTAGATGGATAACTGTATACAGTACTGTACATTGAGTGAAATAAAGTATTTTTCTCACACTTTTAAAGAATCCAGATAACACAAACTCTCCCATCATTTGCTGCTATTCATTGTCTCTCTCTACTGTAATGGTGTCTGCTCAGATATCCCCTGTATTGAAACAAAATACATTCACCTTGCTGTCTTCTCTGGAGTGTGAGAAAACTAATCACTAACTCCCATATAGCTGTGTATGGTATATAACCTGAAAAACTAATATTTAATTTATTTTCTCTTTTTCAGGAAATCTGGAGGTAGCTTAGATGAGAGCACTATACAGAACACATCAGACACCTCAAGGTTCATCCAAGGCTCACAACTTTTCAAGGATGACATGGCCAATGGTATCCTTCACAACAAATTGTCTGAGGTGAGTTTATGTGCTGGTATAGCTCATATGCTGGTATACAGTATACTTTCATATCCTAATTACAGTATACTGTGGTGAATATTTATCATTCATTATTATTTATACACTTTTTGCGAGTCTTTATTGCTGTCATTATTTAGAAGATCTATATAATGTACTGTACTGTATACTGTACAGTATATTATGTACTGTATATGAAAGAGTGGAAAATGGTTTGGAAGGAATATATTGGAAAAATTCACTGGATACAGACACACAATAAGAAAAAAATATTTACTAGCAAAGTATTCCCTTGAGAAAATGTGAGCATATGATTGGGCAGGACAGTAATATGAATGCATTGTGTTAATGTCAAAGATGTTCTGTCAGTAATAACACCATAGTTTGATTGGTGGACAGACAGGGTGTGAGGGGACAAATAAGAAAAAAAAATAATAATAAAAAAAGGGGGGAGGGGGCGGTAGAAATGAGGTGCCAAGCAAAATGAGCCCAAGTTGGAAATACTGCAGCCATTGTGGATACCAGAGCAGTGTGACATTTCCATAGTGAAGAGTTAAGTTGCCCATCTGCCTTTGTGTATTTTTTTCAGAGCCAATGTTTATGAGAAAGAATTGTTTCAGACTGGTTAAAAATGATTGAATCTACTGACTCACTGGGCAATTTTTATTGAAGTGAAGGCAAGTTTAAAAAGAAACTATGCAGGGGAAACAGAATACACAATACTGGAAACTTATAAAATATTGAAACTTATAAAATATTGAAACTAATATTGCTGTGCAGAAGAAATGACAACCCACCTTTTTCTCATGTGACCAGAAAATATGTTAAAAAGAGAGAGAGAGAGAGAGAGAGCAAAGAAAATATATGAATAGATACAGGAGTTAGAGTGAATAACTGAGAAATAAGGATAATGTGTAACATGGCTCAGCATTTGAGGATATTAACTGGTAAAATATGGTCAAAGAATATACAGTAGAGTATGTCTGGACAAGGGATGGTGTAGGAGGAGACTTGTGAATTAAACACACTAGAACTTCACGAGAGTCTGAATTTATATGTGAAGGGATCAAGTGACTGTAAAGGCCAAATCAACTGGACTCAGTTTTGTGTTCTTGACTGGTGCGTTATGTAAAGTACGTAGATTTTGTATAAATCCTTAAGAGTTCAGTGTAAGAAGTTGGCCATCTTTCATACCTGGAGATTAGTTTGGTACAGTAATATTGATTAGTTTAGTATTTACTAGGTACAGTATGTGGTAAGCCTGGGACCTGCTGGAATATGATGGGTATTACGATTTTGTGTGTATTGTTTGTTTATATATTTTATGATCATTTTTATTATCAGTATAAAAAGGAAGTTGAAATGCACACTTGTATTACTGTTAAAGTGTGTAAGTGAGTATATTTGTTGCTAAATGATGTGGTAGGAGTGGAGATTAGCTTGCCTCAGGAAGGAGAGAGGGGCTTAAAAAATATGTAAGTAAACTCTTTTTAAACCAAATTGATTGACACAACTTTGGGGATTTCTACAAAATTGCAAGATCACTGGATTACAATTTGTCTCCTCTGCACTTTATAACATTGGTTTCTAAATCACTTCTGAAAAGTCTTACTTAGCTTTCAAAATAAATGGTGGGTTTTATGACAAGCTGTATTCCACTGTTAGTAGTCAGTTTTGTAGTGTTTCTGCAGGTATGTAATTTATTGTCCCTTTTTTTTTAGATTTGTGTGTTGTCAGAGTTTACATTATATTCTTTGTTTGAATAATATATAATATATCTTTGCAGTAAGTTTCACCCAAGTACATTACAGTAATTCATATATGTCCTGTGTTATGTTGGGATTTTAATGCTATATTGTTACAGTTTACAGCTTATTTAGTTAAGTAGGATGAAACCTGAATTACTTGACATCATGCATGTCCTTTGCATTCAACTGATGGAGATCTTTGACTCGGTATCTTGCAGCATAATGGAGGGCTTATGAATGGTGGGCAGGGCTATGGAAAATTACTTGACCGTCACCGAATCACCAATGGATACTCTCCTTTATTGCCAAGAATTCGGAGAGATTTTTCGGACTTATTAGAGTGAGCGAAAAGGGGGAAAGCATTCTAGTCAAGTGGGTTATGGCTTGTTGAGTGACTACTTTATACATGCATTAGTAATATTAAATATTTCCTGAGGAAGGGAAAGCATACAGTGTGTAATATGGAAGGAAAGGGAAACAGCATTAGTATTTTGAGTCATATCTAGTCTGAATATTTGAAGAAAAAAAAAATTAAACTCATTGTGAAAACATTAACCATTCTTAATGGGCCAAACAATAAAATGAAACTGTCTGCTTATTTTTTGAGAATACAACACACAAACCTATTAATAATAAACGTACAAGGCACAACACCACTTTTGTGATTGACAATGAAAATAAAAGCACAGTCTCAGTATTAACAGAGCTACAATGCAGTGTGAATACTGTACTATACAATAAGTCTTCCATTTATTCGAGTACTGTATGTAGGACAGAAAAGGTGTTCCTTAATCAAAAAAGCTTTAGTAGTATGTAATAACAATAATGATTGTAATGGTAAATTAATATTGAATTTGCCATACATTCAGCTACACTGTAAATTGATATTAATAAGCTTAAGTTTTTAAAAGACTTAATACAGTACTTCAATCACCACCATAATTGCCTAATTTAGAAGTTGAACTAAGGTAATACCTGTACTACATTATATACTTAACAGTAGTTAACATGGTAAATATTGACTATACAAAGAGCTGAATTGATTGCCATCTGAGACAGACACTGTACCTGGGGTAAGGTTTATGAAGTGATTCTGTAACTAATGCACCACAGTCTAAAATACTGACAAGAACACTCTTTAACAGTTTTTTTGAGTTCATCAAACCAAAACTGTTAATTAACCATTAAAGTTTTGTTAATTGTAATTTCATTGACTGGTTCAACAAATTATCATTGTGGGAACAGTAATGGTAGCCTGACCTTATGTACATAGGCACTTGACTTGAAGATCTTGAGTCACATTCCTGACAGGTTTTGACTGGCTGTAGTAAAGTTTGTCAAAAAAGTGTGTTCCCCTTTCTATTCATGGACTCGAAGCCTTAATCTCTAATACCATTACTGTGTGTGTTTGCTAATACAGTTGAAGTATTTAGTATTAACCGAATGTATTTAATTGGCACTAACCTAACCTTAAGAGTTCCTAATAAAGTATTGCATAATTCAATCAGTAATCCTGTACTGTATATTTAAACTGTAAACTGTTTATAGCATTGCAATAATTTCTTATATCAGTATTTGCTTACTTTATCGCTTTAACATACCTTCAGTTATGTATTTCTCATATAGTATACTGTACAGATATTAGATATACAGGTATACAGTACAGTATATAGATACAGTATATACAAATAGAGTATTAATAAACTGGTTTAGACTTGAAATATTTTGGGCCAAATAGGAAATAGAGCTTCTGTGTACAAGTACAGTACCATAGTTATAACTAGGATAATGATTAGAAATAATAAGCTGGTAAATTACATTTGGCTCCTGGGGTTTTTATACTATACAGTACTGCATTTGAAGTTCTTTGAAAATATAGGAACACAATGTTCTCCTTATGCTAAGGGTAGGATCATACTAAATTTATCAAGAGTTATTAATAGTGTTCTAGAGTGGTCTTCACACCCCCTCTTGAATGCTTTTGTCAGGTTTAATCAGAGTTTCTGAACCTAGCAGTAAGCAGAGCCTGTGTGTACTGTTATTTCTCCATGTCTTCCATTGTGCTTTCTTTCACCTCCATGACTCTTACCAATTTTTGTCTCTCTCTCTCCTCATGTTTGCTTTTCTCTTTCTTGAATATGCCCACCTTCCAGGCATATTTCAGTGGATTTAAATTACTATTAAATACTACAAACAGTGTTATACCATTCTCATATTCTATACCTGGAATTATTTGACAGACAAATCCGCTGAGGCCCAATTTTAACGAGAAAATTGGATGAAATAGTATGTGGCATATTTTCTTGGCCATGAAAGGCTAAGTGTTATCTTGGACATATTTCTTCATTTTGTTTTTTTGTTAAGGCTTTGAAAATTGGGATCAAGTACTAATTATATTTGTATTGAATCGGCATTTGCCATTTATTGACACTTAATCCTCTTACTTATGCTTGTTGATGCTATATTTCTTCCTTTGTGCTTGTTGATGCTATATTTCTTCCTTTGTGCTTGTTGATGCTATATTTTCTGCCTTTGTGCTCTTTGATGCTATATTTTCTTCCTTTAAGCCCTTGTTGATGCTATATTTCTTCCTTTGTGCTTGTTGATGCTATATTTTCTTCCTTTGTGCTTGTTGATGCTATATTTTCTGCCTTTGTGCTCTTTGATGCTATATTTTCTTCCTTTAAGCCCTTGTTGATGCTATATTTCTTCCTTTAAGCCCTTGTTGATGTTATATTTTCTTCCTTTGTTCTTGTTGATGCTATATTTTCTTCCTTTGTGCTTGTTGATGCTATATTTCTTCCTTTAAGCCCTTGTTGATGCTATATTTTCTTCCTTTGTGCTTGTTGATGCTATATTTCTTCCTTTGTGCTTGTTGATGCTATATTTTCTTCCTTTGTGCTTGTTGATGCTATATTTCTTCCTTTGTGCTTGTTGATGCTATATTTTCTTCCTTTGTGCTTGTTGATGCTATATTTCTTCCTTTGTGCTTGTTGATGCTATATTTTCTTCCTTTGTGCTTGTTGATGCTATATTTTCTTCCTTTGTGCTTGTTGATGCTATATTTTCTTCCTTTAAGCCCTTGTTGATGCTGTATTTTCTTCCTTTAAGCCCTTGTTGATGTTATATTTCTTCCTTTGTGCTTGTTGATGCTATATTTTCTTCCTTTGTGCTTGTTGATGCTATATTTTCTTCCTTTGTGCTTGTTGATATATATTTTCTTCCTTTGTGCTTGTTGATGCTATATTTTCTTCCTTTGTGTGATGATCGTATTTTCTTCCTTTAAGCCCTTGTTGTCTCTTCTCTTTTTCTTCCTTGCTTGTTGATGCTATATTTCTTCCTTTAAGCCCTTGTTGATGCTATATTTTCTTCCTTTGTTCTTGTTGATGCTATATTTTCTTCCTTTGTGCTTGTTGATGCTGTATTTTCTTCCTTTGTGCTTGTTGATGCTATATTTTCTTCCTTTAAGCCCTTGTTGATGCTGTATTTTCTTCCTTTGTGGTTGTTGATGCTGTATTTTCTTCCTTTGTGCTTGTTGATGCTATATTTTCTTCCTTTAAGCCCTTGTTGATGCTGTATTTTCTTCCTTTAAGCCCTTGTTGATGTTATATTTCTTCCTTTGTGCTTGTTGATGCTGTATTTTCTTCCTTTGTGCTTGTTGATGCTATATTTTCTCCCTTTGTGCTTGTTGATGCTATATTTTCTTCCTTTGTGCTTGTTGATGTTATATTTTCTTCCTTTGTGCTTGTTGATGCTATATTTTCTTCCTTTGTGCTTGCTGATGCTATATTTTTCTTCCTTTGGCCTTGTTGATACTATATTTTCTTCCTTTATTGCTTCATTGATGCTATATTTTCTTCCTTTAAGCCCTTGTTGATGCTATATTTCTTCCTTTAAGCTTGTTGATGCTATATTTCTTCCTTTAAGCCCTTGTTGATGCTATATTTTCTTCCTTTGTGCTTGTTGATGCTATATTTTCTTCCTTTGTGCTTGTTGATGCTATATTTCTTCCTTTAAGCCCTTGTTGATGTTATATTTTCTTCCTTTGTGCTTGTTGATGCTATATTTCTTCCTTTAAGCCCTTGTTGATGTTATATTTTCTTCCTTTGTGCTTGTTGATGCTATATTTTCTTCCTTTGTGCTTGCTGATGCTATATTTTCTTCCTTTGTGCTTGTTGATACTATATTTTCTTCCTTTGTGCTTGTTGATGCTATATTTTCTTCCTTTAAGCCCTTGTTGATGCTATATTTCTTCCTTTAAGCTTGTTGATGCTATATTTCTTCCTTTAAGCCCTTGTTGATGCTATATTTTCTTCCTTTGTGCTTGTTGATGCTATATTTTTCTTCCTTTGTGCTTGTTGATGCTATATTTCCTTCCTTTAAGCCTTTGTTGATGTGTTATATTTTTCTTCCTTTGTGCTTGTTGATGCTATATTTCTTCCTTTAAGCCCTTGTTGATGTTATATTTATCTTCCTTTGTGTGCTTTATTTGATGCTATATTTCTTCCTTTGTGCTTGTTGATGCTATATTTTCTTCCTTTGTGCTTGTTGATGCTATATTTCCTTCCTTTAAGCCCTTGTTGATGTTATATTTTCTTCCTTTGTGCTTGGTGATGCTATATTTCTTCCTTTAAGCTCTTGTTGATGCTATATTTTTCTTCCTTTGAGCTTGTTGATTTCTTCCTTTGCTATGCTATATTCTTCCTTTAAGCCCTTGTTGATGCTATATTTTCTTCCTTTGTGCTTGTTGATGCTATATTTTCTTCCTTTAAGCTTGTTGATGCTATATTTCTTCCTTTAAGCCCTTGTTGATGCTATATTTTCTTCCTTTGAGCTTGTTGATGTTATATTTCTTCCTTTAAGCCCTTGTTGATGCTATATTTTCTTCCTTTGTGCTTGTTGATGCTATATTTTCTTCCTTTATGCTATATTTCTTCCTTTAAGCCCTTGTTGATGCTATATTTTCTTCCGTTGTGCTTGTTGATACTATATTTTCTTCCTTTAAGCTTGTTGATGCTATATTTCTTCCTTTAAGCCCTTGTTGATGCTATATTTTCTTCCTTTGAGCTTGTTGATGCTATATTTCTTCCTTTAAGCCCTTGTTGATGCTATATTTTCTTCCTTTGTGCTTGTTGATGCTATATTTTCTTCCTTTGTGCTTGTTGATGCTATATTTTCTTCCTTTGTGCTTGTTGATGCTGTATTTTCTTCCTTTAAGCCCTTGTTGATGTTATATTTCTTCCTTTGTGCTTGTTGATGCTGTATTTTCTTCCTTTGTGCTTGTTGATGCTATATTTTCTCCCTTTGTGCTTGTTGATGCTATATTTTCTTCCTTTGTGCTTGTTGATGTTATATTTTCTTCCTTTGTGCTTGTTGATGCTATATTTTCTTCCTTTAAGCCCTTGTTGATGCTGTATTTTCTTCCTTTGTGGTTGTTGATGCTGTATTTTCTTCCTTTGTGCTTGTTGATGCTATATTTTCTTCCTTTAAGCCCTTGTTGATGCTGTATTTTCTTCCTTTAAGCCCTTGTTGATGTTATATTTCTTCCTTTGTGCTTGTTGATGCTGTATTTTCTTCCTTTGTGCTTGTTGATGCTATATTTTCTCCCTTTGTGCTTGTTGATGCTATATTTTCTTCCTTTGTGCTTGTTGATGTTATATTTTCTTCCTTTGTGCTTGTTGATGCTATATTTTCTTCCTTTGATGCTATATTTTCTTCCTTTGTGCTTGATGATGCTATATATGTAATATTTTCTTCCTTTGTGCTTGTTGATGCTATATTTTCTTCCTTTGTGCTTGTTGATGCTATATTTTCTTCCTTTGTGCTTGTTGATGCTATATTTTCTTCCTTTGTGCTTGTTGATGCTATATTTTCTTCCTTTGTGCTTGCTGATGCTATATTTTCTTCCTTTGTGCTTGTTGATGCTATATTTTCTTCCTTTGTGCTTGTTGATGCTGTATTTTCTTCCTTTAAGCCCTTGTTGATGCTGTATCCTCCTTCTCTCCCTTTATTCATGTTATGCTTTCTTTTTCTATTGTCTTGTTGCTGTCTTCTCTTCCCCTATCTATTTGCTGCAATCTAATCTTTTCCCATTTCAGTTCTACCCATATGTCACTATTGTTTGTGCCTTTCATGCTTGAAGTAACACTGAAAAATGCTAATATGCTTTTTTGCCCTAATATCCTTTGTTGTTGTGGATTATGAGGCAATTATGTGGTGCTTGTGTGGGTGTTGGAGCCAGCGGTTTAGTGACGGCGACTTTGAGTACCCTCACTTTGGCGACGCTGCTTAGTGTTGAGCCTCATGGACCAGTTATGTACAGTACTCGGTAACTCCTCTTGTATTGTGGTGCAGTTTGCTGTCCTTGAGTCACTCTCACCCACAACGCTGGCACAGAGGCACATGAATTATGATTGGTTTGCTTATCACTTTATATTTGTGAATATTTAACGATCACATTTAATGTTAGATTTAATTACTAAGAAAATTGGAGTAAGAAACATACGGTAATACCAATTGTACTCAGGCAGTTAAGAGGCATTACTGCGTAACAAGGATCTACAAGTCATATCTTTATCATGGCTTCAAAATTAATGAAATGCTATTGAAAATATTTTATCTGCATGACAGAAGGCATTCATAATATTGATTAAGATTATGAATGCCGAGACATTCACACTACAGCTTCTCTATGTGTGCAGTATTCATGCATCATTGTTTGTATTGGTGGGTGCATGTATGTGTAGATAGGGAAGACGCGTGCTTGTGGATGTGAGAGTACAGTAAAGTAAAATTTTTAGTGCGTTTGTTTGCTGTGGTTTATCTACTTCTATATTCATTATTGATTCTTATTTAAGTATTACTTTGAATTGTAGAGAATATAATTAAGAAAGGTTCCTTCCAATAAATGGAATAATCCTGATATCAAGTGTAGGAAAACAAGAAAAGAGAAAATGAGAATTGGTTATATATTTTAAAGTTAACTGAGTTAAAGAGTTTACAGTAGAGTGAAAGTACATTATTGTGTTTGGCTTGATAGAGCTAGGAAGAGTCAGCTCTGCCCCATCACCTATTCTTCAGCATTTTGTCCCTTGGCATATCACATGTCCAGAGTCACATCAGAGAATCCCAATTATTCACCCACTTCTAATTCATGCTCTTGACCTTCTCAGCTACATTGAACCTCTCAAGCTCTTCAGTATTTCTTACCCAATCCATTCTTTTAATCTCAGATCAGCATTATAACAAATTTGTTAATATTGGAGATATGCCTCCGTTATGTGACTCAGACAGTCCTCTAATATTGTTAATACAGTTCAGTAATGATCTTTTCAAAGAATAAAGATTTTTTTTTCTATTCTCTCAATACAGGTATTTTGATGGAAGCCATTTAACATACCTGGTATATATTTTCAGAACACATAATAGCTCATTTGGTTTACATGATTAGACCTTATCATTCCTTGGACAGTTGGTTCCCATTTTGTAGGATATCATTACTGTAGCAGCATTAGCCTCTCTTGAAGTGGTTGCTAGCTGTTAAAATGCATATCTTGCAGTCTCGAGGCCCTTTGAAATATTATGTGCAATTTATGTGCAGTAAAGCACTGCTTTACTACCAACCAATGATAGTCACAGGAATACTATATGTATATGTAGATAGAATAGTTCTTGCAAAAGCAATTACTACTAATATGTATTACATGTATATAAAAGTAGTGTAATAAATTCTAATTACCGTAATTCACAAAGTTATCTCACTGTAGATAGTTGGAAGACACTTATTTTGTGAATTAATTTTTTAATAGAATTGTCACCTTCACTAGCTGTACATGATGTGTATAGGTTACAGTGGAAAGTGTTATATTTTTATGAAAGTTGATTTAGTTTCTACTAGCTTAAGTTTGAGAGCGAGTGTTAACAAAAATAATGTCAGTTAACTTGCACTGCTTATATACATAGTTTTTTATCTTTTAAATTTTCTTTTGAAATAATTGGTAATTATGCAATAATTTAGAGGAAAATATTGTACTCAATATTTAAAATGAAAAGTAAATTTGACTAGTTTCACATAGTTCAAGTAAGTTCATTATGTTTTCTTTGTATATTTCTTACAGTTATTGTGCCATTGCAGATAATGAAGTCCAGTATAGTATGTTAAAATTTTGCAGGTTCGAACTGGAGGACGTATGAGGACATTTAGTATCTTGGAAGAGGAAGAGGAGGAAGAAGAACCAAGAGAAGAGATAGATGAGAAAAAGGAAGAAGAAGACACATTAGATAAGGGGCAGAGGTCACGAAGTGGGTCACGAAGTGGCTCACGTAGTGGCTCACGTAGTGGCTCACGTAGTGGGTCTAGAAGGGGATCGAGAGCTTCCAGTAGTTCTTCCTTAAAAGACAAGTGTATAAGAGACATGAAGTTGGATTTATCTCTTCTCCATCGCCTTGAATGCGTTCGACGGGGCAGTGGTTCACACCAAGGCTCCCTTCAAGGGTCAGCTGCTACATCTCCCTCTGGTGATGATACCCCTTTACCAGAGCCCCCTTTCCCACCTTCCTCAAACATTGGACTGGGACGGGGAAGAGCAAAAAGTGCTGGAACATCCCCTGCAACAACACCTCCAAGCAGTTTAGTACCACCCACTTCAAATATACATATTAATAATACAAATAACAATCTTTCCACACTTCCCCCACAAGGCCCTACATTACCCCCACCCAGAATCACCCCTCAGTCCTCTGTGTCCTCATCACCTACATCACAGGCATCATCTCCTACCTCTCCGGGACCACAACAGCTACCATCGTCACCAAAGAATCAGGGTTCTTTCTTCAACCATAAATTCAAAACATTACCATCACCTAACCGGAGACTTCATTCTGTTAGATCTTCACCTCAACTAATGCTGAATGAAATATTTGAAGAAGGGGAGTCAGATGGGGAAGGCAGTAGTGGGAACAGTCGTGTTGCTAGCACAACATCTGGGAACAGCGTAGGGGGTGCAGTTGCTTCTCCAGTTATTATGCGCAGACATCGGCTTGTCAGGTCACGAACTGCATCTTGCAGTTCTTCAGATGCCTCAGATGATGACCAAGATGCTCGAAAGAAGCGGCAGCAACGTGCTCTGACGCGACATCTTACTCGGGATTTTCAAGATGAACAATGTGATTCACAGGAACTAAATGGTGAAATGCAGGATGAACGAAGGGATAATGAAGTGACTGTGGAAGAACTCAATGATCATACTCTTGTTCCACCTTCAATTGATTGCAATGGTAGCTTACAAGGGCAAGGTAATGCTCGTGGAAATCGTCCCCTGTCTGCTGCGTGTGATGATGAACGCAAGAATGGACCCTTAAAGGAGGAATCTGGTAGCACAGAAAACATGCTAGATATAGATACAACATTGAGAGAAAGTCGTTCTTTAAACTGTATAGTTATGGCTAGTGGAGAACAGGAAGAACTTCCTTTATGTAGTGTTTCAGAAGCTTCACTTCTTGAACAGTGTGCATCTAGTAACATTACTGTATCCACAGACAATGTTACCACAATATACATTGAAAATAGACCACCTCTTGAAACTGAAAATGATGGAAGGTCTGTGCAGTCAGGAAATTTGGGTGGTGACCGTGTGGTGATACGTGTAACTGATGACAATGGACAGTGTCAGGAGTCCATAGTTGGTGATATAGATACACCAACGGACATAAAGACTTTTTCTCCAAAAGAATCAGGATCTCCTCAAGTGATTGGTGCTAATGATGTGGTAGTTGGGCTAGTGGACTCTCCACGGTCCGGTCGACCAGCAGGGGCTCGACCTGTGTCAGATTCACAGGTAATTACACGTCCACCACACTCTCCTTCTTTGACCAAATCTGCATCACATATGGAATCTCTAAGTGCATGTGGGGAGCGACCCTCCAACAAGTTCTCTCTACGGACTAGTTCTACCAATGGATCGCTGATGCCCGGACGGAATCACTATGTTATGGATATCAACCAGAATGCAGGAGGACGAAAGAATCGTTCTGAAAAATCTAATGGTGCACTAGCAATACAGGGGACCTCAAAGTGTTGTAGTCTGTCTTGAGGCACTGGGTACAATGTAGGATACATAATGAGATGAACTGAAAACTTACCTTGTGCATATGAGTGTTGTAAGTTCCCTAAATCCCTTAGTGTATCCATTGGTATAGTATATAAATATTGGAAGTCCTCTGCAGATGTGGACATAGGGTGTGATATAAAGATGTGTTGTGTACATAGGAGAGTCAACTATTTTGAGATGTAGATATGGACTAAGTTTTGTGTCCCAGCCTGGCAGGCCCCAGGAACAGGTGCATAATCACCTTGTTGACTGCCCCACCCATTAACAAGTGCCAGCTTTACTCCAGTGTTTTCCTCAACCTGCTGCTGCTGCAGCACTCACTTTGGGCTGGTATCATGTCATTAGTAACTATCAACTAGAATTGTCTTCAACATGAAAATGGCAGTGTCTGAGAATGAAAAGTTGGTGTTGCATATTATGTTGATTCTTGGAAGTCTAAAGGTTATTCCATATGGAAGTGTGTAAGTAAATATGCATGATGTTGTTTTTAGTGTACAGGTGCATACCTTATCAACAACCAAATGTTGGGATCTCACAATTAATAAGAAGCACAGCAAAGAATCTTATACAGTCAATATTTTTGTAATAAACTTCTTTGTACATAAGTTTCATGTTTGTTCAACTGGTGGCAATATTTTTGTGAATAATAAATCTGAGCTCTGTTGCCATATATTATGGAGCTCTGAAATGTTTATTGCATAGATGAGTTGAACCCCTACTTGTGACTGGTTAAGTTGTATTATCTTCCCTTCTCTCCTTTTCAAGTATGGTACTTATTGTAATCTTGCCAACCCTAGTCAAGACCTAGTCTTCATGTACACATGGAAGCTTAGCCGTCACAGAAGCTGGTGGTGTCTCTTGTCTGTTGGTTAGATTTGTATTACAGTAATTATGGTGAAGTTAAAACACACTCTTTTTAGGCAGTATTTCATAATCTTCAGTTAAATAACAGACTTGTACAAAGTACATGCTGTAAAGCATATTGATGTGATCTGTGGCGTAGGGCTAAGGAGTGGCAATCACCTCCAGCCCCGGTAGGATCAGGATTTGAATGACAAATCAAGTGTTGCAACTCAGCACTTTCCGATTTAAGCTATACCTCTCCCAAGTTCCCTCCATTCATTGTGTTATGTGTAACTCAATATTAGCATTGAGCGTCCTATTTCTTTCATCCATCAGAATCTGCCACATTTCTCTAACAGCTACTGTACTTTCATATGACACATTTCTATGACATAAGGGGAAAAGATAACACTAACCTATGGCTCATAATTACTAATTTCATCACAATATAAAGGAAAAAAAAGCCCCTCGTTAGGTATAGTTTAATGTTCTTTGTTAGGTAGTAAAGAATGTGGCTTAAGAAATTTGTTGAAATGGTGTTTCTTATTTTGCTTTAACTGTTGTAATGGTACATGTTATAGTCGGCAATACTTTATTCAAAATTTATTTAATCATTACTTATCATACTAAGTTAACCATAGGTTTCTTCATTCCATGTTACCAGCCCAAGCTTCCAAACCATTGCATTTGAGATGTGATTGGTGATTGTCAGTTGTAGACGGTTCTCTTTCTTAGCTAATTTCTTACTGTCGGTAGGAAAGTGAGGTCTTATTTCAAGCTCCAGGTGGTGCCACATTTGACAATGGTTATATTTGCATATGTTTCTGTAAAATTTTTCCGCCTCTTGTCTCTGGTGTGACGCAGTGTATGTGATGGTATCGGCAAGTTTTGGCCGTAAAAACTTGAGTGCTTCACTGAGGCTCTATTTTACTATATATACAATGTTTATTAATTCTATGGAAGTCTTAAAATATTAATTTAAAGACATACAGGATGCAGCAGTAGCTGTACAAAATGTAATTTAAAAATGATTAGCTAAATAGATTGTTATGTGGTTTATTTTATCATTTCATGCAAAAATGCATAATTATTTAATTGTTGGTATATTCTGTTGATTAATTATCTTGTATTCTTCATGGATTGCTTTAAGACAACACTTTTTTAACATGATTGATTGAAATACATAACTCGTACATTTCAGTTGAACAAGTTTGACCATCCCACATTATGATCTTATGAAGCTAATTTAAAAAGTTCAGAAAATTCATGTGCCAGATAATGGGTTATTTATTTCCTGTATTCCAGATGTTTGGATATTGTTAAATAGCTTTTCAGATATGTGACACCTGTATTTATATATGCATGGATGGTAGACTATGATTATAAGTTTACATAAAATCAGTTTTTTTTAGACTACCTGGTTATGTTTGATGCATGAAAGATTATTTATGACTTGGATGAACGTGGAATTGTGTCAGAGAGAGAGAGAGAGAGATGCGAGAAATCAGTCCAGATATTGACAGATTGTGTTCAAGACTTGTTGATACCAGTTTTTTGTGACTATCAATGAGAGTATGTGTTGATTGTTCAGACTGTAATGTATGTTAAAACAACTTAGTACAGGTAAACCTAGATATAGTGAGTCTACAATTCTTGATCATTCTTCTCCCAGTCATTTAAAACAAACTTCTGGGTAAATATAATGCCAATGAACTGTTTAATTTAATTGAATTTTGTCTTACTACAGGTATATACAGTATATATAAATATTATTATTTTTAATCAGCTTGTACTTGCTTGCCAAGGAGTGATTTCCCACCAAATTCCATAATGAACCCCACCATTATATCTAGGTGATTACTAATTGCTGCCTCTTGTAGCTGATGTGTTGTGCCTTTTGTTAGCTCCAGTGTCCAGTAGCAGCAGACTAGTAACCATGGAAAGTAACAGTCAACTTGCTTGAGATGGAATAGAGCGTGATCCCATATACTTGACAGTTTCACTATAAACATTTTGGTGCAACTTGTCATGGTTCAGTATACCATTACATGAATTCATGAATATACAAAATGACAGATTTGGATGATGATGATAGGTGTTTTATTTTCATGGTTAAACATGCAAGTCATGAACAAACAAGAAAATAAAAGTCGGTCAAAACTTACGGTTTTGTACATAGTACTACAACATAACTTTGTACTTGTTTAATCAAATGTTTATTATGCAATATATTCACTTCTTAATCTCTTGACCACTAGTGTTGGGTTCATATAGCATTAGTACCCATCTTGCTTTGCAAAAACATAAACCTTGTATTTACAGTACGTCTAAACTATATTTTCTGCATGGGGAGTTCAGCGTATACGACCAACTTTTGACAATAAATTTGTTGCATATACACCTAACTAAGTGGAGGTTGTAACCAGTATTTCTGAGTTATATACATACAATGCATTGGTTTAGTTACTTCATTATGCTATTTGTGATTTAAATAGGAGTCACCAAACATTGTTTTAAATCATATACCACCCAATTATGACACCTGTTGTTTATAAACTATGTTCTGATTCAGAGATCAATGATAAGGATTTTTCATACCCAAGGAAAATCACTATTTAATGAATATTGGCTTTTTATATTAAACCTCTTCCTTTCACTTGCATACAGGATTAATATGCCTTGCTAGCATAGTTAAATGGGCATTATATTTTTGTCATGTTTGTGTAGGTATGGGTATGTCATATACAGTTTTTGACTATTATACTCTGTCTTGATGCTTGAATGAGATTAGGGATTCATGTCATTCTAACTGGATATAATTTTTAATCAAAATATTATTCAGAGGAGAATGTAACTGAATATTATTGTTGTGGATGATTTATTTAGTAATTATGCTCTGTATAGCATTATGGGTATTAACTGTAGTCTGGTGTACAAGAGATTTAAGATTTCTACAGTCACAGATTGCTTGTAATGTCAATCTAGAATTTATAAGGTAATTTTGTTATCTTGCCATCTTAAGCTCATATGACCCCCCTCCCTTTTTTTATTGAAAGTACTATATATCTGTTGGTGGTGTGGAGTCCACCAATGGTAGTAAGAATGATTCCCTCTGCATTATATGCTAATTAGGCAAGAAATGAACATTTCAAGTTGTTACTCTTTTTGAGAAGAGGTATTTGTATGGATTTTCTGGTTGTGTGCATTGACAAATTTTGGAGGGCCTCACACACACACATCTTCAAATAATGCATTCCTGGAAGAAGGGTGTCGACCTTTGTCAGTGAACACTTTCTGATAGTGTACTTGTTTTAGTGAGGTGAACAGCATTTCATGGAAAGTTCACTTTATTATATTTAGATTTCAGAACAATCTTTTTAATTTGCAAAACATATTACTATATGCACACTTAAACTTTATCATAACCTAATGTGCATAGCCAGATTACCAAACACCTGTCTTCTCAAAAAAATTAACCCAGGAGCTGCAAATTTGAGGAAAGTCATCCAAAGCAAAGTTAGTTATATGTTATTAATGTTACATAAGAAAATTGTGCCATGTTAAATTGGTTTTGGTCTAATTTAGCCATTCCATCTGTATCAGATGTGTAACCTTCAATATATAGCATGAATGTAATTATCCTAATCAGTCCATAATGGAATACTGACCAGCTAAATACTCCTGGAAATCTTAGGAGTCTCACATCAAAAACTACTGGCAACTGGAATTATCTCTTATCCTAACCTGAAGGTACCACAACAAAATGACCCTATACTACAGAGTCTTATTTTCCAGTTGTGTAAACAAAGGTTAGATTGAGAAATAGTTCTATTGTGTAACATAAAACTATTCAGCTTTAAGTTTAGGTCTAAGGGAAGAAGACTACAGTAGCATTAACAATACCTGTACAGTACACTTTTTTCACTCTGAATTTTTCCCCCCAATAATAATCACCAAACTGATGAATTGATAGAAAATTTTCATTTGATTTCAACATTTCTCTTGTTCAAGTGAGATTTACTGCCTGAAACAACAACATAAAAGTTTTATTTCGATTTAAAGAAAGTTTAGACATACTGTATAGCATTTGAATTGGCAATTCACCAGTTAAGGTGACAAATAACCAATCAAATCCAGCAATAATGGCCATGAATAGACATTTGTCATCAGAAGTGGATATTTCTCCATCCCGAAGTTCATTTTTCATTACTTTTAGTATAAACTGCTATTGGCTTTAAGAAAGCATAACTTGATTGCTGTGTTATGGTATAGTTTCCATTGCCATCATCTACTGTGTTTTAAAATAGGTGGGTTGTATTGCTCTTTTTCATTATTATATTGGGGGGGGGGGGGTGTGTGCAGTCCACCCGGGCACAGGTCAACGGGGCCTGGGGGCGAAACATATAATAAAATTTGTTTTGTACATTTTTAACTTTCACATTTTATTGTTATTATTACAGGTATTATTATTATTATTATTATTATTATTATTATTATTATTATTATTATTATTATTATTATTATCATTATCATTATTATTATTATTATTATTATTATTATTATTATTATTATTATTATTGTTATCATTATTATTATTACTACTACTACTATTATTATTGCCCCCAGGCCCTGATGTGGGTCAGTGACCTGTGCGCAGGTGGGCTAATCCCTGTTAAAAAAACAAAAACAAATCTACTATAAATGGCACTGAAGAAATTTCTTATATATCTTATATACCTTTACTGCCTTACACAAAACAGTATTTACTCCCATTGTGGTGGCGGCAGCTTGAACACCTCTTCAAATAGTGGCTCCATGCGTAGATTCCTCCTTATCTTTTTCTTCTTCAATTTCTGAAACAATTCCAGTTCAAAGAAGTATTCCAATTCAGACCGATCCAATATTTAAGGCAACTTTTCTGATGTTGTGTTCGGATCCTTAATTCTATTAATAGCACCAGTAATACTGTCAAGACTTGTTCTCCCAACTCTGTTACTAACATCTCCAAAAGATTGCTGGCTGGTCTCAGAACCTTCAACAGACATCCTAATTTCTTTTTGTGATGATCCATATTTACCACTTACCGGTATGACCTGATTATTGTTGACCTTCCTTTCTAAATTGGTATTGGGGTCTCTATATTAGATATTTCTGAATTTGAAATCAGATCTAAACTTGCTGCCGGATGGATGAGGAGCTGAATGAACAATGTGTGTGTGTGTGTGGTGGATGTGAATTGTGTTGTATTCTAGGTAGTGCTGTGGTTGTTGTGGGTTGTGTTTTTGTACAATAAATGTGTATTTGTTGTGTGTGTTTGTTTGTGTATATAGCAACTGTGTCTTGTTTTAAAAATTTTAAATCCATGTACTGTATGTATATCTTTGAGTACATGTATATGTGTTGCAGGTATGAGTGAATGTATTACAAATATTATTGAAAATATTTTGTAAGTATGAGTGAAAGCGTTACATACTGACAACACTTATTCTCTCATACTGTTTTTGCAATAAATATACAGTGCACACATACAGTAAAGCCCTCTTGATACGGATTAATTGGGGAGGAAATTCAATCAGTATTAAGCAAATTTCAGGATAAAACAAGTTCTGGGTGGGGGGTTTATTTAATCTCGAAAAAATCTGGATTCACCAAGAAAAATTGGATGGCAATCCTGATTACCATGTGTTGCACACAAACTCCAGCCTCAGCCACTTACAAGCCACTCGCACTGCTTCAGCCCTCGTGTGTGCAATCTCTTTAACTCCTGTGGACAACCTCAAAAGTCAGTCAGAAGAAGGCCAGAAAGGAGTTTAGCTTGAAGGACAAGCAGGAATTATAAACTGTATATTATACTGCAGGTTAGTGATTCAAGTACAGTAATTCAAAAGTGTTTATTTATTTTTTGCCACCAAGTGGGTAGATCCGGACTATTTCGTGTTAATCCGGACTCAATCTGGATTACCAGAAATTAGTCTGGAGTGGTTTGCCAGTCTGGATAAAAACAGTCAGGATTAAGAGGGTTTTACTTTACTTAAAACATACGTATACATGTACACACATACCCAAAGACATGCATCCATGCATTTAAAGACATTAAAACAAACACATCCACAGTCATACACAGAACACACATTACTGTACACAAAGCACACATTCAACATAAATACAACACATCACTCCCACTAAAACCACAATACAATCCAGAATAACACAACACACTCCTGCTACACACACAATACAACTCACTTATTTTAAAATACTCCATATGTAACTTCAGTGGAAATTATTATACTAAAAGACACCAATTAATTTCTGCTTCCTTAATGCCAATACCTGTACAGTATAGTAGTTTATACCTGGTACTAAAATGTCTACTCATGGCCATCATTGTCAAATTTGTGTGATAATTTGCCACTTTAAACTGGTGAATTGCTGATCTAAATGCTGTGTCAAAAGTTTCAAGTGGAAATAAAACTTCTGTGTCGTTTTCAGGCAGTAAATCCCACTTCAGTATGAGTAATGCTGAAATCAAATTAAATTTTTTTAACATTTCATTGACTTGGTGATTTCTATTGACGAACATTGACTTTGAGTGAAAAAAGGTGTCTACTTAAAATTTCATCATAACACAAGGATTTACTGTGTTAACGTCAGTGCTCTCATAGTGACTACTGAAGTGTTGGTAAAGGACAATAAATGAAACTGTCCAGCAATGTAATTAACATGCCAGACAAAAGTACACACCTCATAGATATCACAAAGTTGCCAATGTAGAAAGTAATTTCTCTCAATATTACATCCTGTTGGTACAAAGTCACTGCTGAAGTATGTAACTTGTTTCTATGTAATGTATCAGTTTATTTTAATTTGAAAGCTGTATTTAATTCACGGATGAAAAAACTAAGGAACTGATTTTTTCTTTTTTTGCCTAACTTAACTGCTGTAATTTTTTATTGTAAACAAGCGTCTCATACGCACACAGTATATGAACACTCAAGTACAGTAATCCCTCACCAACTGCAGTTTTGAGTATCCACATTTTATCTTTTTTACACTATTTTACCAGTCACGGTGTTCTGGAATTTTTTAGCTCTGCACGGCGAGAATGTTCCCTGGATCAGGTCTTTCAAGTGGTTGACTTGTTCAGTTTCATTATATCCATTCCTCAAATGATAAATTATCATCATCTATGATGCCAAGATCCTTGCTCTTATTTGGCTTTTTAAATTACTGTAATTAGTTTATTTTCATTCTTCGTATTGTTTGCTACAGGTCAATAGTCATCACTTAATACCTTCAGGGTCAGGGACCTGTGGAGGCAGCCACATCCCTCGTGGTCCAGGTGTAGTCACTATGCTCACCACCTTACTCACTCAAGTATTTATACGTTAATTAATAAACTACTGTACTTTCTAGATAACATATGTATATATTTTTTTTTACCAAATTTAAGGAATTCATTTACAATATATATATATATATATATATATATATATATATATATATATATATATATATATATATATATATATATATATATATATATATATATATATATATATATATATATATATATATATATATATATATATATATATATATATATATATATACCTTAGCACAAATGAAAATTAGAGAATTAAACCAGACTAATAGGTTTTTTTTTTATATGTAGGAAGGAGATATGAACTTTCTCTGTTAGATCCAACTGTTACAGTATGTGTATGTTTTTTGCCCTTATGTGTAAAAAAACATCAATTTGGAAGTAGATTGTTCATACACACATGTATGTATGAAAACTTGTAAGGAATATAAACTTCATTCGCATATTTTTTTTTTGCTAGGAAGAGCATCAAGGCTAGGCATGGGTCATCTGGGGACTAAAATACACTACAGTATTCTAATTTTTCTTAATACTTGCAATGCAATGTACCTGTACTGTATAGTGCTTTTATGCAGTACTTTATGGTCTAAAAGTATGCGAGGGTCAAGTTCCAGGAGCCTCGTGTAAGAGCGAATTTCGCATATACTGTATACCTAAAACCCATTTTCTATACTAAAGTAACCCTACCCAAGGTAAACAACTGTGTAAACTTTCACAAACTGTGTCACCCTGTACAGTATAGAAACAGCTTAAATGAATACTAGATGTACTGTACATAACTATTATAAATAGAAATCATATAAAAAAATCAAAAGGACTTTGCGTATTTCACTTTCACAATGTTTGATGGAGCGGATGGATGACTCGTTCATGGGAACCGACACACAACTTAAGAGTTAGATACCCTGCTCCTTAATGAATCCAATATCTTGACCTTTTCTTCAAACTTCTCAGAATGTGCTATTTTATGTTTCTCACTCACCACCACTAGCACTGCCACTAAATTTCCTAAGGGCCCATTACCGGTAAAATTTGGCAATAAAAAAAACTTTATGAGCATGCATGCCTGGGAGATGTTGATGGAACCAGATCGAGAGAGGGACCTTTGGGTGACGCCTACGCGAGATGTGGGCTAAGGCTCATGAACTAGCTATCGAGATTATTATTATGGTAATAATTTATTTAGGCAGCCCTTCCAGCTATAAGCCAAATCCACTGCACCATCAAAATGGATAATTAAAGAAATACTATGTGTATATGTTTAAATTATGAAAAATTGTATAATTATGAAGTTAAGATAAATAAGGGTGGATAGACTTTATTCACATGCAAAAAGTGCCTAGTTAGTGAGATCCTAGGTGGGTAGACTATTCTCTTGCGAAAGATGGTGAAGCTAGCAAGAGATGCTGGGTACAGGGTTGGCTGGTGCAAGAACAAGTCATGCATATGGGCGGATCAGGGGGTCAACTGCATGTAAGCGGGATCACGTACTCTGGATATGCGGACTTTGCGACTGTGTTTTTTAAGTACAGTACACTGCATTTGCTTGTGTATGAGCTGCACCCCTTACTACAGGGGTGGCCAGACTTTCGTGTGACAGGATCTACTTTTTCCATGGCTATCCAAACGTGATCTACTAGCACAATTTTTCCTAACCTCCAGCAGATAAGGAATCAATTCTGAGTCTTAATGAAGAAAGAGAGAGTAACCAATAATAAAATCAAATGAATACTGTATATACATATATTGCCAAGTGCCTATATCATTTTCAATGCATAATCATACAACTATGAACGGTAAGAAGGAAGAACTTATTTCACCGATGTGATGATTTGCACTGCATGGCGTCGGCAAGCAGTGTCCAGGCTCCCAGCTGGTGAAATTCGGCAGATTTTTATGTTAGTGGTATCATTTTCTATAACATTATTAATTAATATTCCCCAAATTATTTAAATGTGCACCTCCTTGCTAAATGACTGCTAGATATGCAAAGACAAAACATGTCATGAGTGTTGCTGCTAATAATGGAAAAACAAAAATACCTGTACTCTTTTTTTTTTAAATAACGTATGGTGGTGTACTTGGCAGTGGTGTCGTGTACTGTACCTGCTGGATCCCTGTTGATGGGCTACACCGCTACTACCCATCCCGTGATCTACCAGAAATTGTTTTGTGATCTATTGTTATATCATGATTGACGTTTTGGTTCCCCCTGCCTTACTATTGTATATGAATGATCGCTAACATTTGCTTATCCGTAAAATTATATTCTTACACCTCTTGTTTGCTATCTGAAGGTGATATTCGCTTATACAGTTCAATGTTGGTATGATCGAAAATTCAAATTGAGTGCCAGGTGCTGCCCGGGTGTCAGCTGGGACGGCCATTTTGGTCCCCAGATGAGCATTGTTAAGTGCAAGTGAAGTCCTCTCTCTTTATCCGTCTGTATTCATGCCATCCATTCATGAATCTGTATGCAAAGACATCCAAGTATAGTAGTGATTCTTCTGCTACCCCACCATCACCAGGAGACCCCACCAACCTGTGATAATTGAACCAAGTTTAAGATAATCAAGCATCATGAATGGGTCGGGGGGGGAGCTCAATGTAAGGTAGTGGTACTGCACTAACTGTATATAACTATTTTATTTTGTCTTCAGTATTTCTTTTTAGGTATAATATCTTAAATAATGTTTTAGTAATTTTTTAATTCACAAGAATAAACCAATACACTTCTATTCACAGAAATAATTTCTTACATCAGATGTAAGAAGTTATTTGTGTGAACAGTATATTTAAATGTGCACACACGCACACACACACACATAATTCATAAAATGTGCAGGTAACCACTTGAAAACAGACCCGTAAAGATCAAAAGCATTTTTACTTTTTTATTATTATTCACATCTTCAGGGAGTGCTGTAGACTACAGTAAACCCTCCCAATACCAGACTAATTCGTGCCTGCCCTGTTCCTTATTGGGGGCATCTTATAAGGTCATAACTATTGTACAGTACATACATAAAAATTAAACTTACATTAATTATGGGGGTCCAATATTTGCACTTCCTCCTTGCCTTGGCTTTGCTCAGGTGATGCGCCCTCCTCCTGTGCCAGGCATAGAGGCGATCAATTGGTCATTGTCATTATCGTCAAGAAGAACATGAGGCTTCCTTATTGTCCTTTTTGAAAAGCTGATTTATTTTTTGTTGTTGTTGCACAGGTCATCATTTTTCAGGCTGTATATCAAAATATTGTAGACCTGAGTTCCGTGGATGGCATACCTTTCCATAATGGCAAACAAAGAGGTACCTTTTACCAACTTCTCTTCCGTGGAAAAACTTTGGTATGGTCAGTAAGTTTCTCACAAATAAAACATTGTAATAGGGCTCTAAAATGATGCTTCACACACAACAATGTGAGATATAAAAGAAGACTGAATAGTTATGCTAAAAGGGACATGGGGAGCCCTTGGCTAACCACCGCACAACACTTTTTAGTCCAACAATCATGTGTGGTGACTACCTTCCCGAGGGGTTTAGATGGTAGGGATGCTCAGTCACAGTGTCCAGCAAACTCCTACTGACCACTTCTGTGGTCAATAGCAGACATTGTTCCCATTACTGGATCTTACCAGTTGAGTCTGCGAGTTAAACTGGATAAAACACTTCATTTATTGGGAATATCTGATATTGAGAAGTCTGTTATTGAGAGGGATTAATTCCCCAAAGATGTGAATAATTATGAAAGTGTTTGGGAAGTTAAAATTGTTTTCTGGTACTGTACACCTTGTAATTGCCAAATATGGATAACTTTATTACTACAACTTGATGAAAAATTATTACTTATTGTGGGAAAATATTTTCCTTAGTTTCATTTCAGATGTTTGGTTGGACAAGTTGGTAATGATACTATTCATATATGGTCTGTATTATGATTATCTTCATGTAGAACCAATTTGAATTGTGAAAAAATTATCTTTAAAACTCATCACTTTTATATTTATACTGTACCTATTTAGCATCAGGTCAGAAATTCATGATTTTGGTAATTGGTTGTCTTAATGACTTTTGGAACTTAATTCATTTTGCATTCCTAATTACTTGCCTCCTGTAATTTTTCAAATGTTGATTTTTTGTGTTTTGTCATATTCGATGGACTAAAGTGTGTTTACCCAAAATTCAAACTGGTCTATCTATAGGAACAATGATGCAGATAATCTTATTGCAGTTTATAAATTAATAGAACCATATAAACCTAACTAACCTAATTCTGGTTTTACATTATATTGTACAGTTTATACATGAACTTACAGGTATGTCACTGGAATGAGTTAAAACAACACTTTTTACCTGGTATTTAGTGCCAAAATATAAGAATATGGTATAATTCCCCAGAGTTGATGCTAACTTGCAGATTGTTTCAGGAAGACATTGTATAGGAGAGATCACCACTATATAATCCTTGATCGTCATGGAAAAGGTGTATATCTGGAGGTCTTTAAATGGGGAAGTCTTCAACTGGAGTTGAAAGTGCTGCAAGGTGCTGTCGTGGCATAACCTGGTATGTTTCCACACTTGAATTAGATAATACTGTAAGTACTTGTGCAGTGGATAAACTTCCAAAAGCAAGTTTGCATAATCAATTATAGATATCTGCAGCAGCATAAATGACAAAAAAAAAAATAAATGAAGAAACTACTGGGTGTTCATTACAGAAGGTATTTTGCATACAATGTACTTTACCTGGATAAGTATTTGGGATCATGGCTCAAGGTTACTATAAGATAGATACATATATATTATCTATATTGTTCTAACCCATGATCAGTGGGTTCAAACCACAGGTAGATTAAATAAAATGCAATCTATAGTAAAAATAACAAAAACTGTCCGTCATTATACTAGTGGCAGTGATGGTCCAAATTGTATTCTTAGGAGATAGATTATTTAGTACTAGAGTCAAATAACATTTCATTTGAAGCATAAGAATGTTTCCTGAATTGTCACCTCTAAACTATCTATATTTTAAGAATGTCAATGTGGACATCGTGGGCACACATTCCCGCCATCATCATATCTCTGGCAGGTCCAAGCTCTCGGTCCAACAGTATGGCTGTATCTTTGGTCCTCATGACAGTACAGTACTCAACTGCTCATCATGTGTAGTCGGTAAAAATATATTCTTTACTTTTTCTCTGATGTTCGTTTTCCTACCCTCGGATGATGTTATTCCCACCACTACATCTGTATTGTTTGACAAAAATTCATTATGAACTATCATGTTAGATCATGAGAATATTTATCTTGAATAAAACATTCTTTTTGGCACATTAGATGACATGGAAAACAAGGATGGGAAGATAGTAAAAAGGAATGAAATACCTGTGTAAATTCAAGGGCCTAGCTAGGCATATACAGTATGCACAAGTGCATACAGTATAGTTTTTCCTGGGCTCATCATGTGTGGGTCTTTGTCCCTATTTGGTACTGTCCACAGGGCCCATTTGTATGTATGTAAGAGAGATTGGGGGGGGGGGGCTCTGTGTAGGACAAGTGAAGTCTGACCTGATTCAGGTTGGGCCTGTTAGTTACCTCTCTGAGGAATTGCCTTATTTGAACACCTGGGCTGCCTAGCTCACCTCAATATCTCTCATTGCCAATAAGGGACAAGTTGGTAAGCCAGTCTTTTGTAAGGGTTTCTCCCTACCCAGTTTTTCTTAAAAAAGGTAAATTGAGATATATAGGGTGTCCCAGAAAAATGTCCCTAAAATAAATTTGCTCAGAAAACATGAACAAAATAATAAATTCTTGGGGTTGTTGTTGATGATAAACTAACTGGAGAAACCACATACTGTACTGTACAAGTCATTCACAGTAAAGTTCAATAAACACTGTGGTATCCTGTATCACACTTGTCAGTCAGTCACTCTTGTAGCTATGAAAGAAATCTATTATGATCTTGTTTACCAACACTTGATTTATTGTCACATACTATATGGGGTCTCTAGCTCCACTAAAATAAAACCCTTGGTCACTGCCCAGCAAAGTTGTAAAGTAACTCAATAAATTTACTTGAGTACTGTACTTGATTAACATTTTTGGGTATACATTTTAAAAATTACCCAAATTTTTTAGTATTTTGTAATACTTTTACTCCAATACATTTGAAAACTAATGCAAACTAATAATATATTCTTTAATTAATTCACTAAAAACCATAGTAAAAGAGTTGTGTGGGTGGAGCCATGAAGGGTATGGTGTGGGTGGAGCCGTGAAGGGTATGGTGTGGGTGGAGCCGTGAAGGATATGGTGTGGGTGGAGCCGTGAAGGATATGGTGTGGGTGGAACCGTGAAGGATATGGTGTGGGTGGAACCGTGAAGGATATGGTGTGGGTGGAGCCGTGAAGGGAATGGTGTGGGTGTAGCCGTGAAGGGTATGGTGTGGGTGGAGCTGTGAAGGGTATGGTGTGGGTGAAGCCGTGTAGGGTATGGCGTGGGTGGAGCCGTGAAGGATAATAATAATAATAATAAACGGTTTATTAATAGAGTTGCAGCCGGTGGCTGAAAATATACAGACTTACATTTGATTTAGACATAATGATATAATATGCATTGAATACATTTACAGGGCTGTACAGTACATAAATCAGGAGTTGTTTATTATTTTAACAGTAGATGGGATGGTGCTGTTCTTATATCTATCGGTGCGGTGGCGGACTGCGCGAGTTGGGTGGGGGGCTGCAGGTGGCAGGAGGTGACGATGGCGAGGGTGGTGCAGTAGTCCACGGCCAAACCTTTCCAGTGCTTGGTGGTGGAGGTCACTGAGGGATGGCATTTCCAGGGTGGAGAGAGCGTTGGTGTAGCCGGAGTATTCTGCGCCGAGCATGATTCTGCAGGCCCTTTTCTGTACCTTCTCTAACTGACGTTGTTGGGTGGAGTTGAGAGAAGATGACCAGGCTGGTGACGCATACGTTAGTTTGGGGAGAATAAAGGCATTGTAGATGGTCCTCAGCTCTGGCGTGGGTGCCCCAAGTGACCTAAGTCTTCGTAGCATGTAGAGACGGTACGAGGCTGCCTTGACTGTGTTATTTACATGGGCCTTCCAGTCAAGTTTGTTGTCTATAGTTACACCCAGGAGTTTGGCAGACTGCACCAGCTGGAGAGGATGGGCACCCACTGTGACTGCTGGGGCTTGCACTGGAGTGGTGGCGGTATTGATGTGCATGACTACGGTTTTGGTGTGGTTGATGGTGACCTTGTTCTCCGTAGTCCATGCCTGCAGCCTGTCCAGGGTGCCTTGGAGCGATGAGTAGTCTGGTGCGGTGTTGTCCACTGAAACCCCCACAGTGCAGTCATCCACGTACCTCCACCTGTGAGGAGTGTCCGATAGAGCGTCGTTGATCAGGATGAGGAAGCACAGTGGTCCCATCTTGGTCCCCTGGGGAACACCGCAGGTGAGGTGTTGGAATGTAGAGACCAAGCCCTGATACCTCACTGCTTGGCGACGTCCACTCAAGAAATCAGTGAGCCATGAGACCAGGTTGGTGGGCAGCCCTAGTGCAATAGCCTTGTTGATAACAGTACAGTATGGTGTGGGTGGAGCTGTGAAGGATATGGTGTGGGTGGAGCCGTGAAGGGTATGGTGTGAGTGGAGCCGTGAAGGATATGGTGTGGGTGGAGCCGTGAAGGATATGGTGTGGGTGGAGTCGTGTAGGGTATGGTGTGGGTGGAGCCGTGAAGGATATGGTGTGGGTGGAGCCGTGAAGGATATGGTGTGGGTGGAGTCGTGTAGGGTATGGTGTGGGTGGAGCCGTGAAGGATATGGTGTGGGTGGAGCCGTGAAGGATCAGTGTCGGGAGACACCATGCAGTTACTTACCTAGAAGTCTCGTGAGGATAAGTCGGGTCAGGTCAGGTGGCAGTGGCCATGATGGTGGACTTTCCCTTTGACCTTCTTGTGTTCATTAGCACCTTGACCACCCACCTCACCTAGCTTACCCTCTTATCCCCCCTCCCCCCATCGAATCCCTCCTCTTCTCCCCACCTTTCCTTCAGGGGCTTGGTCTTCCCATTAGACGTAGTTGTCCTTTGCATATGCCTGTACCTAAAATAAATTTAAAAGAGGCTGTGATTCTAAAAATTTTTATATAATTACATCTTAGATATAAAGCCTGTATCTATACATATATGTGAGACTGAGTGTATCTAAAATTCTGCTTAAATAACTAAGTACCACTCCCCCCTCGCCAAATGTTACGTGGTGTGATAAATTCAGCCACTCGTCAATTAGAATCGAAAAGTGACGTCACCACAGCCACACCCCAATTAGAGGGACGGTTCACAGTGAGTCTTAGTCAGACTCGGTCACTATGAAGGCAACAATCATCCACAAACTCCTCAACTGAAGGAGCTTGATGGCTACCTGGCATGCCCAGGGCATGGAATAGAGCTAAGAGCTACTAAGGTCTTTCCAGACATTATGTGATTTATCCCTCAAGCATAACACCCCACTACCTGCATCAGCAGCTTGTAAGCATCTTGGTGCCAGAAGTACGCCCTTTTACTTCTTTTTACGGATTTACGTCACTCACTCACTTTTATATAATTTTACGTCTTTTTATGAATTTTATGCCTTTTTATATATTTTCTTTTTGTTTTTATTTTTACGTTTTTTATGTATCTTTATGTCTTTTGCCATCTTTTTATGTATTTTAACATCTTTCTACATCTTTTTACTTATTTTTATTATTTCTGTATTTTGCACGTTTTTATGTCTTTTCTGCGTATTTTTATGAATGTTTATGTATTTATACATCCTTTATGTATTTTACGTATTTTTCTATATCTTAAATGCATTTTTATGTCTTTTAACAGCTTTTATGCTTATTGACTTATACATAGTGATGTACACTCGCACCAAAAAGTATCTCTGCAGGGTGAGATCGACAACTTCCGAAACGATACGTATACACTGTGATATGTCGGGAAGGTTGTTAAGTGCATCCTCTTAACCCCCCCCCCACTAGGTGTTGCCATATGGCTGACAATTAGTGTGTTTGTTTCCTCTTTTCGGATTGTTGCTTTGTGTCGACTGAATGATGAGCGAGGGTTCGGTCTCGGTGAACTTGGGTATAAAACAGAGGCAATATGAAGCAATAGAGATCTACACATGCCAGACGACATGGAAACCTCAGAGGGAACACGAGGAGCTATTATTGCCCTTCATAACGAAGGGTTTGGCGTCACAGATACTAGCCGGCGGGTTGGTGTCCACAGGAACACCGCTGCACGATGGATTCGGCGATACCTCGAAACTGGTGCTACAGACGACAGGTCTCGGAGCGGCCGTCCACGCTGCACCACCCCTCAGGACGACCAGGTTGAGTGGTTTATTTGGTAGCATAAATTAATGTGGCAATATTCACAAGTATCACAAATAATTTTGTTAACAGAGAGCTCCTCATATTTCTTACTGTCTATTTATCACTTCCCGACCTTATTTATAACGGTTTGTTTCACTTGACCAGGCCATAGCAGCTGCTTGTGATGCAGCTCAGCAGGATTACAGGGCTGCCAACATACGGCTGGAACAACTCGCCTTTCCCAATACCTATCGTCACTGGTCTCAAATTGTTCATACTACAGTATGCACCGATACTTTTTGTTGCGAGTGTACAGTATATGATGATTCACGACTACAGGTATTGGCAAACTGAATATTTGTATGTTTAGTAAGTCTCTGTTACATCACCCACAGGCCGTACAGTGACTGTAATAGTTGAAGAATGAATGTTCTACAAACATGAATAACTGAATGTACTGTTAAACTTTCAGCTGTTTCTGGAAAAAAAAAAAAAAATATATATATATATATATATATATATATATATATATATATATATATATATATATATATATATATATATATATATATATATATATATATATATATATATATATATATATACACACACACATACATACATACATACATACACATACATATATATATATATATATATATATATATATATATATATATATATATATATATATATATATATATATATATATATACATACATACATACATACATACATACATACATATATATATATATATATATATATATATATATATATATATATATATATATATATATATATATATATATATATATATATATATATATATATATATATATATATATATATATATATATATATAGTGGTCTCGGTTAATCCGTTACCGAGATTTTGGTTAACGAGTTACCTTCCATAAGATTCTTAACTTCGGTTGGTTAACTAGCAATCCCTCGATTAACGAGTTTCTTACGAGCCGACGTGAACATGTTTTCGCTTGCATTTGGCGGTCCACCAGCTGTAGTATTAGTCCGCCAATACGGTAATCGGTTCTAGGGCTTAAATTCCTTATCATTTAGGCTAATATCAAGAAGTTTATACTATTCAATAATTTTAAAAGTTTAATATTAAATTTTTTAGTCATTTTAACAATTATTGAACATAATTGAAGGTAATGAAACTAGTTTTTGGCGCGTCATCCAGCCTCTCAACACACCATACAGGCGTCAGTCTTTGTGTCTTTTCAGTGGAGGTAACATCTTGCTCGAGGCTTTCTTCAACTAAAGGCTTTTTTTCTGTGTTTGCAAGCAAATTATTGGTCATTTTGAAATTTATTTTACATATTGACAATATATAATGCAGTGCAGTGCTGATTTAAAGAAAGTAATCTTGAATTACACCAAGAGAACGAAAATTTTATGGGTGAAATGGCGCCATGGGGTGACTTCTCTTCTCCCTTCTCCTCCACCCCCATTCTAATTCCCATCATCATCATCCAGGAGCCTTCTACATACACACCTCAAAGTAAGTGTACTTTTCTACCGTTTTTGTTGAATTTAGGCAATTTTTGGTGAGCTGGAACCAATTACCCAAAAACCCATTGAAACAATGGTTTCGGTTAACGAGTTTTTCGGTTAACAAGCAACCTTCTAGAATGGATTGTGTTCATTAACCGAGAGACCACTGTGTAAATATATATATATATATAATATATATATATATATATATATATATACACATACATATACATACATACAGTGAAACCTATA